TGGCATCAACTTTGGAAGGCTTTTGTGAAGGTTTGTGGGACGGTATTAGAGCCCTTCATCCCCACTGTCTCCTCATCTTGGCTTGTCCCACACCCTCTCCCTGAGTTTCCTTTTCATTTTTTGCAGCCATTTTCCCCCCTCCTTCAAAACTGATTTCATCCAAGAGGTTTCCAACTCTGGGCTAATCGTTTCTTAATTCCATATTCTCCCAGAATAAATCCACCTAATCTGTTAACCTATCTAGTTTCTAACACACTCTGTACTCATTTAGAGTGGCATTTGTGGCTTTGTAATTGCCTTTATTTTAATGATATATTTGTTAGGTTAAATAATACATTTTTTAGGACAACAACAAAATCTTCTATTTTGCTGTTGGCATTCTCTTTTTCTGTGTGCCCATTATGCTACTGTAGCAAGGTAGAGACTCCTTACAGAAAGATGTAGGACCTCCTGATCTCCAGTGCTGCCTGAGGGCACACACATACCTGAGCACCCTATACCCTCCAGACAGGTATAGGAATCAGAGGACTGCCACCACCCCTAATGAATCCAACAGAGGATAAAAGAAATTTATATACAACATTTGGACTTGACAGCTTGTATTTTTAAACACTGTCAACATCCCTATGAGATAAATGTTATCATAGATGAGAAAACTGAGACTCAGAAGGTTTGTGAGTACCTTGCCTAAGGTCACACAGATAAAAGGTAGCAAAGATAGTGTTCAGGCATGAATCTGCTACCTCCAGCTCTAGTGTTCTTTCTATTGCATCAAGGCTGCCATACACTGTGTCACTCGGGGACATTTGACTAACTGCATTCCTGAAACTTGTCCAGTTATGGTGCAGCACCCTTTGGTTTAGGCTGGATTGATCTGGTCAAAAGGCAGGATTAGGAGAAAAAGACTAGTTGGCTATGGAAGTATAGATCTATATAGTGTGTGTGTGTGTGTGTGTGTGTGTGTGTGTGTGTGTGTGAATATTATATATATTTTATATACACTTAAATGTATCTGAGTATATCACTTATATAGTACATGTACTCTAAGTTTGTACTGTAATGTTAAATTTGTACTGATTAAAAATAATAACATGGTAGAGCCAGGGGCGATGGTGCATACCTGTAATCCCAGCCACCCAGGAGGCTGAGACAGGAGGATTGTGAGTTCAAAGCTAGTCTCAGCAATGGCAAGGCACTAAGCAATTCAGTGAGACCCTTTCTCTAAACAAAATACAAAATAGGACTGGGGATGTGGCTCAATGGTCGAGTGCCCCAGAGTTAAACTCCTGGTATCCCCCAAAAAATAATTATAATAAAAATAACACCTTAGACTCTACTATGCAGATGTTTAAATTATCAGACCCTATAATATATGTTCCTCCTTTAACAGCCTATTTTTCTAACTTTGGCTTTTAGACAAAGATTAATTGTATTGTCCAAAACAACAGATTTTTCTTTGTTCTTTTCAAAATAGAGATGCCTGAGGGGTAGAAGAGATCTAAAGGTGAGAGAAGAAAGTGATTTTTACCAATAGGTTCAGGACTCAGACATGAGGCTCTGATGAGGCTGATGGGCTCTGTCTTCTCTGCTCACCCATGACAATTAGGTCAGGAGCTGTCCCAGACTGTTGATGCCTCCAGAATGGTCACCTTAGTTCTCTAGATCTACTGCTAGCAGAGCCTGGCAGTGATCAGAAGGAGTCAGGCCTTGTTTGAAAAGTCTAAGGCACTGGCCCAGCTCAACAGCCACCCCACATCTACTGAACTTAAGAACATAGGCATACAAGCAATGACCCGGATTCTTTAGTCCTTACTTGGATTAAAAGTGCTTGTGGTCACTGCTATAGAAATCATGATACTTCCAATCATGTTACTCCTCTACCAGAGGAGACTGAACTAATCTACTTTTTTTGAGATTCAGATCTTGAAACATAAATTGTGTCCTGAGAAAAAAGAGTATAGCTTTTCTATATAGTATAGAATGTAGTGTAGAATATCTAGCTGCCTCTACATATTTTTCCTTTTTCATTTCATTTCCAGTACACAGCCCATCACTGCTTCTTAGTGATAGGCCTGAGTGAGGAGGGTCTGATCTTAGCAAGTCCTAATCTCTGCCAAGGAGGTGGTGCTGCTGCAGATGCACTCTTGGCACCCAGCTGTAGCCACTGAATAATTTTATTTGTCTGATCAGATCTTTACAGATTTGTGTTCAATTGGATAAGAATCACAATTTAAGAGAGGAAAAATGAGAGGACAAATGGAAAAGCTTGTAAATAAATAATCATAAATTAGAATCTCTGAGATAATCTTAAAGAAATGGTCTTTCACTTGGAGAAAAGCAGATTGAAAGTAAATTTCAAGACCATGCATATGGGATACTAAGAAGGAAAATAGCCTTGATTGCTAAGGCATGAAAAAGAGGAAAAGAGTTCATTTTGCATTGGAGAGGGAGGGGGGAAGACAAATGATATTTAAGGCAAAATGTCTCTAGATTATTATTAAACATTGTAATAGGTAAAGGCAGAAGCCTATAGTGGGGGGGGGTCTTCTGAGGGAGGCTTCTTTTTGGAGCTTCATAAAAACAGAGCCCCTTTTGGTTGGGAGGTACTGACCTGCTGAGTACTGTACCCCAGAAACCTGAGAGGTGTGGAGAGCGTAGGAAAAGATGAAGATATTGCATGAATGGTTCTTGAACCCTGGAAAACTCAAGTTAAAGCCTTTGGAAAACTTTCAAGGGAAAGAGGCAACATTCATTCTGTGACTAGGAAACAGAATCTGAGTGCTAAAGAGCATGACACTGCTGAGGTGGGGTGGGGGGTGCCAACAAAGGGGAGAAAAGGAGGTAATCCATTTCGTTTTCAATTCACAGGTGCCACTCCACTCCTTGTGGAATCATCCAAAATTTCCTTCTGTGAGCCTCAGTTTCCTTTCTTTAATATCGAGTGCTTGGATTAAGCCCTCTTGAATCCCTTCCAATCCTGAATTTGTGTTCACAAAACTGATCCAGAAAATGTGAATGAATCTATGAAAAGCTGCTTCCTCCTACAACTCAGGTGTGCTGGATGGGTGAGACCTGCACAGAGAAAGGGATCAATGTCTGCCTAGGTGAGGGCTGGCCCCTGCATCCACATGGGGTGGAACCTCTGCTCCTGAGCCATGGGTAAGTTGCTTATCTTCTCTTAACTTAGATATCCCTATTTGTAAAATAAGGATAGCAATAGCTCATCTGATTGTTGTGAGTTTAAATTAGATTTGCAAGATGAATGCAGTGTAATAATTTCTAATAGCTCCTGTATCTCAGACACACAAGTACCAATAAATGTATTAATATTGGAATAAGAGTTTGTAAATCATTTTATTTCTTACCCTTTTATTTCTCTTTATTGAACTGCAAAAAAAATCATATAGTTTAATATTGTGATGGCAGTGGGTTTTTTTGTTTTTTAACACTTACCTTTTATTGTTTGGGCAGAATAAATCCTAATTAATTACATTTTCCTGAATGTCCTATTAAAATACATAACCCGTGATCACTTTTCTAGCTTCCTCTACATATTCTGTCCTTTTTCATTTCTAAAGTAGAGCCAAGAGTACTTGTAGGGACTTTGGATCTTTTGGCATTCTTAACAAGCTGCTCTTCCTGAGAGGTGGCTCGCTGTGTCTCTGGGCAGTTTGGCTCATTGTTTTGTGGATGTCCTCATTTTAGCTGCTCTGCTCTTGGTGTGGGCCTATCTGCAACTTCGTCTTGCTTGTTTTAACAGTGGTTTGTGTTTTTTTTGGTTTTTTTGTTTGTTTTCAGTGTTTCCAACTCAGAAGCCCCTATTTGCCTCTTCAAAAGGCTGAACTGCCCACTCCCAGTTTCACACCGGCGGGCCCGTGGGATGTTCCTTGGGTTGATACAGAACCCAGTTCCACTAAGCTGAGAGGGCGCGCCGCTTGGGCCAGGGTGGGGCACCAGGTTGTGAGCAGCCTCTTGCCTTTTAGGTTTGCTTTCCCGCAGGGGACACCGTAGGCGGCTGTGCGGTTCGGCCACTGACCCCCGCCCCTCGCGTCCGGCCGCGCCGTGGGTTGCGGTCTCCGTGGGGGTGGCACCTCCTGTCCGGGAGGTTTGCGCCTGGCGGGGCACCCCGGAGCCACGAGGAGCCGCGAGGAGCCGGGAGGCGAGGCCAGGGCGGGGTGGGGCGCGTCCGGGCGGGGAGGGCAAACTCAGGCAGTGCAGGGGGCGCAGAGGGCAGCAGGCAGGCTGACGCGCTGCCGAGAAGCGCGCGGGACGAGGGCTGGCTAGTGTCGGGGCCGCCCGCCCGAGGGGGAGGAGGCTGTGCTGCCCTTGCTACAGGTTCGCTGTCGAGAGCGCAGGAGGCAGGGACATGGGTAGGGTGCGGTCTGCACGGGGCCCGAGCCCGGATCTCTTCCATTTCCCCTCTC